ATATCCATAGTTGCCATAGCCTTGATTCCAATAGTTACTATATCCCTGGTTCCAGTTTTGACTGGGGCCTGCAGCACATTAATAGGTTCACTAAAGTCAGAAGATCAGCAAAGATCTTTACTTCAGGATAATTAAAAAGCAGAAAAGCTTAAGATAGAGTAAACTTAGGCACTAGCTTACCACCACCTCTTCCACGAGCTCTTCCTGCAAATCCTCCTCTAGATCCCCACTGTTGCTGTTGCTGATACTGTTCCTTGGACATGGCTACTTTTATTTCACACTAAAAGAGAAAAATTATGTTATTATACTGACTAAAGAAAAGAACCAAGAGTTTATAATAACCAGTAGAGCAAATACTGTCTAAAATACAGAATTGGCTAACTGGATACTTCCCTCAAAATCAGTGTATTAATTAATTCAATCACTGGTACTTAAAGAAATAATTCTTTCTGATATCCATAAAGTTTTTGCTTGAGATTTTTGTTACTTTTACTTGTCAAGTCCTCAAAAAATATCTTTTCATAAAGCCTATCCAAAAATGCACTTAAAAATAATTATTTCCTTCCTCCCCAATGAACTTTTAGGAGTGTACTTTGATAAAAGTAATATGTCTTTAAAATATAAGCACCAACTGAACTCTCTAAGGAAAGCCGATGATCAAACTCTTCAACAGCTAGTTTTCTCTACAAGTAAATGGATGCTTAACTTACTTTACTAAGACCAACATTGTGGTATTTCTTTTCCATTATCTTCTTCACTGGTTCCTCTTCCTTAAAAGTAATAAAGCAGAATCCACGCCTCTTATTGGTCTTGTTGTCCATGGGGAGCTCTATGGATTCCACCTGTTAACAAAATATTAGTATTAATCCCTTAATTTTCAGATTATTGATGTTAGTATCTCAGGCTGAATGGGGGAAAAATGCAAAGAAAACATGTATTTGACTCTCAAGTTCTACTCTGCTCTGTCCTAGTTTATTCTTATCTTTTCAAACAATTTTTGAAATGGTAATTCCACCCAAGTCTTCAAGGCTACTTATAAAAATAAGCTTCAGAATACTGTATTTGCAACCTAACTCAATGGTCACAAACTCAAATGTCAACCAACAAGCAGAAGCAAGCCAGCCAAGTTTTAAGAAAAATGAGATTAAAGTGTCTGATTTGGAAAGTAAAGAGTGAGTGGTAAGGAACACTGAAAACTGGAAAATACAGGACCAACCAAAGGTGGAAGACACTACTCATATGAAATGGCTAATGCCATGCAAATGTAGTACCAGTGTTGCTTTTTTCAAAAAAGATTTATTTACATACAAGAACTGGGGTACAGGTCAGAGGTGTGGGGGAGAGGGGGTGAAGAGATTCACCAGAGACAGAGTAGGGAGCAGAACAGGCAGAATAACTGAAATACACTGCTGAGGGGAGCAGCAGGCGAGACAGGAGAGGTCTCCAGCACCATGTGGGTAGCTCCCTGTCTGGCCAAGGATTGTACTCATGCTGCAGAGGCTGCAGATAGCTTCACAGGGCTGTGCTTAACCCCTTATGCCACCAGGGAGACCCAATGTTGCTTGCTCTTGCAAGTGTTTGAAACAATATCTAGATTTTTGTGTAAATATATCAATTCCCAAATAGTAAAACCAAAACATGCATCATGCATTCTGTTCAATCAAGCAAAAGATACCAGTATGCTGTATTCGGAGCCTAAGGCCACAAAATTCTTGCCTTCAGTATAACAGGTGCACATATACATGTATTTAAATTGAGAAAGTACTCCAACACTATTCTTAATTCATTTCATTCTTATATTCTGAACCAGGTCCTTCTGTCGGGTAACTCAATCTGGATTTCTTCCTCGGGTTGTTTTTACTACTTTTAAACCAATAAATTCCTCAAGATAAAAATGTGTCTCAGGGCCTATCCTGGTGGTGCAGTGGCTGAGCACTGGGCTGCGAAGCTGCCCGCAGCCTCTGCAGCGCCAGTTCGATCCCCGGCCACCAGCGAGGGTCCCATATGACGCACAGACCTCTCCTGCTGCACCCACTGCTCCCCTCAGCAGTGTATTTCATCAGTCTGCCTGTTCTGTTCCAGCTCTGGTGAATTCTCTCACCCTCCCTCACTTCTGACTGTACCCAGTGTTTATCTAAATAAATAAATAAAACTTAAAAAAAAAAGTGTCTCATCTTTTGTGTATCTTGTGGGCCTAGCAATATATGCAAATAGTAATTACTCAATAAAGGAGAAAAAATGTAATCATCTAACCTTTAGAAGTCTAATAAGCTATTTACAGTATTATTTCAAAATAAATCACATAATCTGTCCAAACTTTAAGACAATTTTTAAAAAACTCAAGTGAACCACCTCTACTGTGACAATTACATTCAACACCAAATGACAAAAACTGAGTCAAAATATTATCACATACCTCACCAAAACCACCAAAGTACTCCCTTATTTTCTCTTCAGGTGTATCTGGAGAAAGGCCACCAACAAAAATTTTTTTAACAGGTTCTTTTGTTTTCATGGCTTTGGCCCTTTTAGGATCAATCACCTTCCCATTCAATTTATGTTCTTTTTGATCCATGACCTAAGGAAATTCAAGTTTTTCATTTTAAAAATGTTTACCTTAAGTTCAGAGAGTATTAACTTACTTAAAAATTACAAATACAGCTAATGCCAATCATGTTGAATAACTCATGACTCAAATGTCAAAATGTGATGTCAAATATGACAATATACACCAGTGTTTAAATCTAAAGGTAAGAATGAAGGAGGCCCTCACAAGTTTAATCAAATAAGAAAATGTTAGCAAAATAAACAGAATTTTTAGACTTCCCCCTAGCCCAAGACTAAAATGATACGCAAAAGTTTTTTGCCTAATAAATTTCAGTTTGTTCACATAAGAACTTGTCAGAACACTCTTTTAGTTAGATGTCTTAAGTCTCGGGAGTTTAAAATTTCAATTTAGTAGAGCCTGTCACAAAAAGTAAACAAGTCTTGAATCTGACTCTCCCCCATCATTAAATATACAAGCACAAAGCTGTCATTCCTTTTTTCTAATTGCAAAAGGAGAAATAGCAAATAAAGATCAAATAATTGTAGTCAACCATCCATGTATTTTATATTAACTGAACAGAACACAACACACTACCTTATCTACACTCTCCGACTCTTTAAATAGCACAAAGCCAAAACCCCTTGATCGCCCTGTGATAGGATCTAACTTCAGAGTGCAGTCTACAACTTCACCAAATTTGGAGAAGTAGTCCTTCAGATCTTTCTTTGTAGTGTCCCAGCTAAGGCCTCCTATAAACATTTTCCTGTAAAGACAAAAAGCAGTATTAAAATGCTAAATTTTTTTAAATATCAAACTTTGCCTTATATATCACCCATATCAACAAAATTTCTTTACCAAACTGCACCAATTTACTGGGCAGTATTATTAAATGTCATTCTTCCTATAAAATCACATTTCAGTAAGACCCTATTTCCAGTTTTGGAAACCTCTGCTTATTAATGCTGCACTGCATAATTACAAAATAGTAAGCAAGCAGCAAATTAAGTCAATTAGATCAGTGTTGCCTCCCCAAAGTAAAAATACATTCAGTCTTCCCTCAATTACAAATTAAATATCAGACAGCAAAATAAATAATTTTTATTTCAAATTTATCTTCCAAATCTGCATTAAATTTTAAAAAGGCTATCGCAGTCCCCAATGATCAAGGTAAATAGTATGTATGTTGTAGTTCCTCTCTACATTTTCTTACAAAAACCTCAACATATAAAATGGAAAATTCTAACAAGGTGCAAAACCAGTTTTTGGATGTGCTATGAGTCCTTTAAAAAAAAAAAAGGAAATCATGAATCATGTAAACAACTTAGTGAACACAAAAGAATTACCCATTGAATCACAACCCACTAATCTAAATGACTTAGTTACAGTAGAACCTCAGTTAACCAGCAATAAAACATTTAAACTTTTAAAATATTAGAAGTGACAGGTGGTAAGTGGAAACCACCAAGGCACTGTAAAATCAAAATACTAAATCCCCCCCCCAAAATTAAAGTGAAATCTTTAGTAAAAGAAAGGCCATAAAGCTCAGATACAGCAACTTTTACTCTTTTTATCTTTCCTTTTCATCATCTCCTCCTCCCCTGCAGCAGTCAACATTTACCACCTACCCTTTACAAAGACAAGACTGGCTATTTTTATTTTAAGGGTAAACTGTCAGAATTTGTTATGAGGGTTAAAAATTTCACCATGGGAGTAAAATCATTCTTGTTTAAAAATTTCTCAAATTTTGTAATTGGGGTAGTTTGGGGATACAGTGAATTCCAGCTCTGGAAAGAAAATAAAGCATGAAATATCTCCATCTTGTGGACATTTAGGGTATTACCACTAAGGTCAAGTCTTGCAAAGAGGCCGATTTTGTCCCTAGAATAAGCTCTTCCTCCTCTTGCTTTTCTCTAAAGATGCCAGATTAACTGAGGTGTTACTGATTTTACTATTTAACCACAATTTGTTTTTACTTCTACTGCTATATTTGACTTTCGATGCAAAAGGTATTTAAGGTATTTTACTTTAGATATATACTGTGATTCCCAATCAGGTAAGTTTTCAACCTATACATATATTCTAGAACTGGACCATTAATTTAATGTTCAGGCCTTCCTCTATCTTTTTATATTCTGTAATCAAATGAATATAACCAAAACATCCATAGCATCATCATATAGGCATTTTTTGTATTTGTTGCCAATTCCATGGGGGGGAGGGTCAAAATGTTTTCTCAATTACATTTTCTTTCAAATAACACGTCTAATATTCAACTTTAGTGACAAACACCTTATTTTTTCAACCTAAAAATCTCAGAGCACTTCTTTAATAGATGAAAATTCATTACCAACATTTACCCTCTGTTCTAAGGACACTGGTATCATCTTAGCAAATTCTGTAAGAAGTAACTTCAAGTTGAAATTTAACTATTAAATTACCACTTCTGTAATGATTAGAGATTTTTCAATAATTTAAGTTTGAAATTATTTAAAGCTGAATACAAGATACTCAGACAACTAGTTTTGATTTCCTTTAACCAAGGCAATGTTTATACTGAGTTAAGAGTTAATTTAAACTAAGAAACAAATTTTTATAGCAAGAATGAGGCATGTTCTATTATTCACAAGCCCCAAATGTTTACAACATAGTCAGTTTTCTTAATTAGATAAGCAAACTAATTCACCAACTGACCCAAATGAAGTGTTCTTTATTAAAGAAACCTCCCACCTTTAATGTAGTCTTTAGTACAGAAATTGTTAAACATGCCTATCTTAGAGCTAAAATAGAAGCTATCCTACCTAAACAATCAAATTCCATTTATCCAGAATATTAAAAATTCTGGTCAACTGTAATCTATATATTCCAAAAAATGATCACTATTTCTCAAAAATTAGACCAAAATACACAGTAAAACTATAGCTGTCTAGCCCCTTTTAGGAATGTGCTAATATTCCACCTGCCCTAAAGCACTGACTGTATTCCCTAACCTCTCCAAGTGTTTTTTCAGTTGCAGTTATTAGGAATAAATTTTTTTTTCTACAGTACACCAAACTTCTGCTTTTCTTACTCAAATATGGTGATCATGATTTCATACTCTATGGGTGAATTAAAATATGCTACTGTACCATGCCCATAGGGTCTTCCAAAATTAGTGTTATTTCTCAATACACAAATGCATCTGATTTCCTAAATATATTAGAACTTCTAGTTTTCACTTTTTGTCTTCCCCATACTCCCCACCTTTCATTCTGTAAGGTAGGTACCCAGAGCTCAAATGTTTAATTTTATATAAACAGTCTCAGAGCAATGGCCCATGTGGCTCTTCTTTGAAACAAATGCCTAACACTTTGGCAGTCTCAAGGTGTTTTTTCGTCTAATAAGAAATGTTGTAACACAACTGAAAATCAGACAGGTGAATATACTAAACAGAACTGTACCAAATCCATACTATCTTTACTAAATGGAACATTATTAACACCATCCAAACTATTCAGTAGGCAAACCAAGATACAATGGCTTAGTACAGTTAAAAAAAAAAGTCTGTTATTTTAATTCTGGATAAATGGGAATTTATTTAGCCTCTCTAGAACACCAGCATTCTTACATGCTCCCCCCTCAAATTTTAAGAGGGTGTAAAATACCAATTTAAATTTTCTATGTTTTATATTACTGTATCTTGCTTAAATAAGCACAATACCTATTGTCCGTCCAGATTACCTCTGCTGCCTTGAATACAAACTGTCAAGTTGCTGTCACTCCTGCAGAGATGTGCAAACACTTTACAATGAAGTAGAGACAGAACTTCAGAAAAATCCTAAGTAGCCAAGTTAAAACGAAGTGACAAGTAGCAACCAAAGTGGGTGCCTACTGCTACAATACAAGTTTAATATTTATATCTTTAGTTGTAAGTGAATCAATAATCCCAATTCAAATGTAGGACACTTCACCTACAGTATTATATATTAGCAAAATTCAATTTAGTACCCCTACCTATGTTATTTAGCACCCAAAGGCTATACAGCATTCAATTTAACACTCAACAATAATGCCTCACACTTTACAGATACTGACATTATACCCTCTGTTAAGTGCAGGACACAGTCATACAACTCAGTGAGCATCACTATCCAAATGCTGTGTGGTTTGTCATATGAGAATTTTGGCTGCTTCGTGGGAAGTTCTCTTTCAGATAAAGTAAACTTAGAGGCACCTAGTCAAATTGCCTGGGTTTAAACCCCATATCCATCATTTAACTGAACAACCCTAAGGGGAAAAAATTCCAAGATTGTTTCCACAGTTCTAAAAAAGAGAACTTAAGAGTCTACCCACATAGGTGTAGTGAGGAATAAACCAGAAAATCCATTTAAATGGCACAGAACATAGTCTGATGCATCCTAAATGCTCAAAAAAATTTAGTGTACAATCTAAATAGATTTAATAAAGCAACTTTTCTTACATTTTTCTTGATGGTTTAATTTTTTACTAAAGCTCATGCCTACATGAATTTCCCAACATTAAGGAAGAAAAGGGTGAGTTTTATATAAATGGACCCTAAGTTTTATGTAAACGGACCCTTAGATTATTTTCAGTGCTCCAGATTTAACTCAAAAAGTTTTAAATGCTCCATGTAAAAAATACACTAGGTATTGTCTAAAACGCCTAAAAATATAGTTTGTAAAATCATCTTGATGGCTTGTCTGTATTTATGTAAAATAGTAGTTTTACGAAGAATTTGAAAATAAGGCAATACATATGGAGCAGTATTAAGCAGTAAAAAATGTTTGCGATTTAGTTGTTATTCACATCAAAAAACCTTATTTTCTGTACTACTAAAATCAGTAGGGTTAACCTTCCAGAGGTAACTCTGTACTTTCCCTAACAAGTCTTTAATGTGAAACACCTTACTCAAAGTATGATTTTTGACGATCGTTATTACTCTTCCTCCCAGTCTGGGAAAAGGGACCCAAAAAAGGAGTCTTTTTAACTTTCAAAGACTTCCTACCAACTTATGGTTTTTCATACGTGGTTTCATAACAAGTTCTGACAGTTTAAAAACACAAGACAATGTCAATCGGATGTACATTTCAAGAATGTAACTGGCCAATCACTGTCACCTTTTAGAGGAATGTTAAATCCAGCACTGATCTTTATTTAAATAAATCTTCTGTATTAGCACTGCAATCATTCCTTCAAAACTCTAAAATGATAATGTATAGTGAAATCTCATCAGCACACAAAAAAATGAGTATTTTTCTTTTCAAATTGCGTTTTTAAGTCACCATTAGCTATAATGGGAGAGGGCTTTACCTTTTTTTCTAATTAGGCACTATCACATGGTATGGTATTAATTTTAAAATGTATAAAAATACATTTAAAAATAACGACAAACTTTTAACAACTATAAAACAATTAGTCCCTTTGATTAAATCTCCTTACTCCATACTTTAAAAATGAGTCTAAAACAAATTTATTTCAAAATAAATTGTCAATTTCAAAATAAATTGTCAAATCAGCTTTATATGATAACCGTCACCTATAAAGGTGAAGGAGTGGGATTTTCTTAACCTAGGGGTTAAGGTTCTGGTTAACTGAGATTACACCTTCACAATTCTTTTAATTTTTATCCATTGGAAATCAATTTAGAGATCACTAAACTCAAAGATTTTCACTTTTGTTGAAAATTTTTATGATCTTGCATGCTTTAAAATCACATTTTTTAATAGCATATGGGGGAAATTTTAAGATTCACTTCATGACAGTCTTAGTTGCTTTTTGAGTCAATCTGCTAGGAGTTTTGCCTCCTCCTCATGAGAGTAAAGTGTATGGCTGGGGGGATTTCCTACTTTTGGGTTTTGTGGTAGTCTGAAATCTAAATAAGGAGACATGATCCAACACTTAATACTAACACTTCATTGGCCAACACTGTCAGTAATATGAGTCTCCTCACCCCACCCCCAGTCTTAAATGTCTACCTCCAATGTACAATGTAATACTCCAGAAACTAAAACATGCTTACCTTTACTCCACAGGAGTAAATCACTGGCAGTATCAACTATTAGGGCACCCGGAAAATACACACAAGCTATAAAAACAGGCTATGTAGTCAATCTTCCTGTGGCGAGCTTTGTTTCCAATACATAAGAGCAGCAAACCAAGTAACAAACGCGTTGTATTACCTGAGACCACACTGTTGAAAGTGAAGTAACAGAAACAGATCCCACGCTTTTAGCATTCAGTTCAGTGCCCTAGCTACTTAAAATTGTGAAGGAAAACTAAAGTCAAAACTTTGACTAACACAGGTCATGTTTCACTCCATTTGAGAATCTGCATTCAGAAAGTGTAGTTTTAAGTAGAATAGAAAAAGTTGTTATTCTATTCTTTTTTAAAATGCTCAAGCATTTTATCACTTAAAGGCAACTAGTCATCCTTCACACTGGTCATAAAGTCACACCCCTAAATAGATTCAAAACTTTATATTTGGGCAGCCTTCCAAGGGACAGAACATTCAGGCAACATTAAAGATACATAGTAAATATACACTTACTTTATAAAAGGGGCTAGAAGGGGTTTAAGGCAAGTATACTTATCTCAAAATAATAATACTGAACAATTTCAGTAATATTCTCCAATTCCAAACCTAAAAAGTCACAGTGCCAAATAAGAATTTGAAATGAAAAGAATTTAACCCATCCCTTATTATGTTCATTTTATCAAGATTCGGGGGTATCAATTTCTGCAATTTTATATTTTGTCAAAGCTTCCAAAGTATAAAATTCAGACCTACAGGACTCCGGGTCACAACTTCATAGTAATGCAACTTTATGAATCAAGGCCAGTAAATTTGCCATGAGATTGTTCTAAGAATCGTTTACAAAGCAAACAGTGTTCAGGGTACCCCAGAAACACTAGGGTATAAATTATAATCTCAAATACTGAAAACATTCACAGGCCCATTCCTTAAAAATTAGAAACTCAACAGGAGTCAGCCTATATAGAGAATTCACAAAATTCCAAAATAAGCACACTTGGGTTTACATACTAATGATTACAGGGCCAGAGCTAATAATGGTTACTAAAGAAATACTGCTCTACTTTGCTGAAAACTGAATGGTACTATTTTGCCTCCTGCCCAATCCAATGCAGGAAAGTCAATATACCTACTTTGTAAAATTGCCTGAAAGGTAACACAATACTCTAGTTTTCCCCTAATGATATTTTTTTTACATGTCTACCTCCACCTCCACATGGCATGTATATTTTGCCACACTAAGTAATGCTAAAGGAGAACACTACTCTTCTAACCAGAAGAATTCTAGCACTGCAGAGAACATAATCCCACCCAAAAATGGGGAATTCCAGTACAACTGCTTATAAAGTTGTAAAGATTAAAATGAGATTAACCCAGGAAGGCTTTTACTATGGAAATAAGTAATTATTTTAAAGGCCTATAATACACTTTGAAAACATTGACTAGCAGTATTAACAGGCATGCCCCGTCCCAGAAATAGCTTTTCATTCTTATATCTAATGTTAGAAAAATATTTAAGTCTGTAACAGATTTTTAAAAATATTTTATAAGACTAGTAACTTCTCCAGTTAAAGTTATTTCTTTAAAATGCACACAAGAATGTGATTCACATATTAAATGATTTTTATTTTATTTTTTGGATTATGAAACTACTGTCCAACATCCCTCAAACTGAGGAGGAATTAACAGATGGGGGGAAGGGGGCAAGAACATAGACACAAAAAGATTAAAGGTCTTAAGGTTCTTTTCTTCAAAAAGAAAAATCTGTAACAGATGAGACTGGATGACTGGACAATTTCTAGAAATGAAATATTAAAACTTCAAAAAATTAGTAGACTTGTTAAATTTTTTAACTTCAGTGAACTTCAGTAAAATTCTCTTTTCAGTGGAAAACTGATCATGTGCTAAAACACTAACTATAAATATTTTCCTGCCCGTTTTTCCTAAGAGGTCTCTCAAACTCATTACATTATAGGATTGAGTAGCAGGACAGAAATAATTCTTGAGTCTGAACAGTAACCTTCAGAGCCTACACTTATTGTTCTTTCAAATTACTGAAAATAAGCGTATACATAAGACATGAAATATTCAATGACACAAAGAAAAGTAGTTATACTTTAATCTTAGTTTGCCACTAGATAGGTGGCAGTGAAATCAAACTATCACAATGCCAAAGAAGACTCATCTTCAAAAGCATTTTATTCTGTATGTCAAACTCTGAACCTGTTTTGTTACTCCCTCTTTCCTATTTTTTCTAATCTGCTTACTGTCCAATATAGAACAGGATAGGTTTCAGTGAACGAGTATATAATAAAACTTGTATGTTATTCCAACCAGGCTCTTAAAACATAACATGGAAAACATAACTTAGTTCATGCCAACATAAGTCACCCATCTGCAAATTACTGACCCTCCAAAACTACAACAGTGGTGAATACAAACGCCTAAAAAACTCAAAAAATCATCCTAAGGCAGAAATATTGACATTTAGGGAAAGAGAAAGATAAAAAGAACAATACTCAACCTACCAGTCTTCCAAAGAGGAGTCATGCAATTGTAAATACATGTCAACCAATTATAATTAACATTCCAATCAAATCACACTGAAATTTGAAAATCTGATAAGAGCTGTAGTGGAAGGTCAGACACATCAGCTCTCTGAATAACACACATCCAATTCTTATCAGTTATATTTACAAATATGGCTGATTATAAAGAACACACTTTTTTACATAATACATATACACAACACTAAAAATTGTTTTACTCTAGACATCTACAGATTCCATTATAACATGCAAGACATTTTAAACACGCAAGATTTTGTATTAAGTAACCATCACATTTAGCATTAATCTCAGAAATCCAAAATATTTGTCTTAACAAAAACCAAATTTGAATTTACAGAACTATTTTTCTTGCCCAGATATATAAAACTATCATTACTGCTATATTAAGCTTTAATTGGCCAAACCACAATTACATGCATTATCACAGACCAAAAACCATATAATGGCATCAATTTTGCCCAAAGATCACAGGCAATGCCTAAGCTTTTATATCCCAGGTACAAGATATCCTATTGTGCTAATGTCTAGAATTCCCTGGGGATCAATGGGCAACTAACCAACACAACCTCTGCATGTTATGACTACTGAAACCTTTATAATACAGAAATAAAATTTAAAAGTTTTACCATTCTTCCCGCTGTGCCGTCGCTGCTTCAGTGTGTCGTGGGGAGGAGTTTGAATGGCTAGGGAATTAACAACCGGTACAGCAACCAATCAAAATTCTAGTTTTAGTTTTTCCACATTGTTAGGGTTAAAAACTTTAATTCATTTACACTTCAGTTCAACAGATAATTACAAAGGCAGCTGCTTTGTGAATTGAAAAATCAGAATAGGTAAGTCGGCCCCAAACAACAAAGTTATACCATTAATCATTTTGGTGCCTCTGTCCAAAGAACAGAATTCAGAAAACAAAAACCAAAATGTTAATGGCTAATGTTTCCAAATAGTTAGCATTCATTGGTAAAATTAAGCTCTACATAATTCAAGATTAGTTCTGCTTAATTAAAAAAAGCTACTTTCCCATCCCACCTCCACTATCCCAAAACCAGCAACACAGCCTGACAAGTGTCTGCCTGGGCTGAGACTGTTAAATCCTATTTACAAAGTGCTCCTCTCCCCACCCCCACCCCCACTCTTGTGCTGTTTCCCAATAAAGTAAAATTTTTCTAAAACTGGGTTAAACCGACATTTTACTTTTACCTTCCACCAACAGCTTTCGCCTTGTTTTGGGGGGGAGGGGAAGGAAGGACGGGGAAGACGGACAGACATCTCACACACCCATTACAAAAGGGAATGTAAATTTTAACCTAAGGTCAATTATCACTAACGGGAATAAGAAAACCCAACCAAGAACCCCGATTTAGTCCCTCCTGCTAACTCCTTTATTATGCTCCGGCTCCCAAATGCTGCGTTCTAATACACTAAATGCAGCTTTTAGTATAATTCACTTATTCCAAATGTAAGAAGCAACTTAGTACTTAAAAACCTGCAAAAAAAAATTTATGCCATAGCACAATACAGGATTTGTTCATTTTATGAAAAAAGGTTGGTAGGCTTAAGTGGGTAAGAGCGGGAAGGAGAAGTCAAGAGAGACCAAAACAGGTTCCTGGGCAGGGGGAATGGGGGGGTAGGTGAAGACTACCAAACAAATGGATATTGCACAGAAAAAGTAAGTGAAGAGTACAATCTGCGGGAAGAGTCGGGGAACCCAAAAGCTAAGGGCGCGAAAAGGGTGCGCGGTTAGAATAACTGGGCGGGTGGGGGAAGGGCCGTCTGGGGCCAGAGGTGGAACAGCCCCGGTGAAGCACAGGCCTCGCCAACAGGGAACTTAACGAATCCTTGCGGAGCAAAACCAAGGTACAAACACGCTACTGGGAAAATTTCACCAGGCCCAATTTGTTCCGTAGACTGAAAAGTTGGGCCTACAGAAGCAAACCGTGCGACAGTATGCAGGAGAGAAAACGAAGAGATCGAAGCCAAACTTACTCAAAACACCAAAAATTAAAAAAACATTCAGCCTGAAGCCGAGGCGGGAGAGGCCTAGGTAGTCAACCTACACGTACCCCAAAGACTCGCATCGTATCGGAATGCCAGAGCGCTAAGCACCAAATAAACCTTAGTTACCCAGGCATAAAAGCTTTTGTGTCTGTTTGCGTTTTTTCCTACACCTAAGTCTTCTAAAAAAGGGGAACGAGGGCGCAGCGGGGAAAGAAAAAGGGTACCCCCGGACAGGCGGGAAAAAATCCTGGCGGCTAAGTCGGTGGGAGGAGACCCAAGGCGAGGGAGGGAAGGAGGGCGGGCCGGGGAGTAGCATGGTGACGGCTAAAGGTGGAAACGTGTGTGATGGGGGAGGGGGCGAAAAGCAGGCAAGGGGGGAAGGAAACGAAGGCCCCGGGGATCCCCAACGTAGAGAACAGAACAGCGCGGGAGGCGGCATGGGGGCCGGGCGGGCGGGCGGTGAGCGGGAACGAGGCCTAATGGCGGGGATGTAGAGGGGGAGGGGGGACTACTTGGGCCTGACTATCGCGGGCAGCCCCTTACTCACCCTTCGTCCTCCTCGTTCTTACTGGCATCGATCTTCGCCCCCTCCGACTCAGCGCTGCCCCCTTCGGTGCCTCCAGCCGCGGTTCCGCCCCCGGTCCCGGCTCCGCTTCCCGCCGCCGCCGCTGCCCCCTGCGCCGCCGCCACCATGGCTCCCTCCTGCTCACCCGCCGAGCCGCCTACCGCCGCCGTTGCCGCCGCCGCCGCCGCCCCGTCCCCGCCGAACTGCTCCTCCGACATAGTGCTACTGCCTCCGCCGCCGCCGCCGAGACTACACCCGCTGCTGCCGCGAACCGAAACTAGCAGCAAAGTAATCCCCGCCGCTGCCGCGCGCCCGCTCTACCGCGCGAAGCACACAAGGCAGAGAAGGCGCGCGCGGCTGCAAAGGCTCCTGCGCCTCTCCCTGGCCTGCCCCCCTCGCCTCCTATTCTCGCGCGGCGCGCACTCCCGCTCTCTCCCGCTGCACTAAAAAAGAATAAGGAGCAGCGGCGGCCGCTCTTGCCTCCTCCTCGCTTTAATGGCGCCGCCGCGGACCACCTAAAATGGCCGACGGAAGAACGGCGCGTCCCGGTCACGTGACACGAGAGCGCGCCCTTTGCGCCTCCCCCGCCCTCTCTACTGCTAGTTTTTTTTCCTCTTCTTCCTCGGTCCCGCCCTCTCGCTCCCATTTATACCTTCCTCTCACGCGCCGCGCCGCACAGCGAGGGGCCTTTAAAAGGAACCGGAAATGGCGTTCGATAAGAGGGCCGCGCGGGGACCATCGAGAACAAGGAACGCTGTTTCGAAGAGGCGGCTAGAGGGGCCTCTTCCTCTGCCCCCGCCCTTCCCGAGGGTTCCCGGAGCCGGCTCGCCCACCTACCCCACCCCCACCGCCCAGCGGCGGGCGAGAGCCGCGGCTCGGGACGGGGACGCGGTAGCACCTGCGGGAAGACGACTGTGCCTTGGGCGCCGGCTGTCGGGTCGCGGGGGTCACTCCCGCACCCCGTTTGGTCCTACGACGGCCCAGCCTGAGAAAGAAGGCGGCCCCGAGGGGTGAACCCCGTGCCTCCGCTCTGTCCGCCGCGGCGCCGGGGATGCCTGGCTCGGCGTGCGCGGAGGAGGCGCCGCGGCGGACGGCGCGCGTGCACGGGCTGCCGCAGCTCCGCCGCCCGCGCCCGGGTGACATTGAGCTTTCCCCGGCCGCCGCCGCCGTGCGCGCCGACTGCGGGCGGGCGGCCGGGGCCGCTGGCTGGTCAGGCCTCTTTCTAAGATTTGCCTTCAAGTACGATTTTTGCTAGCCTGCTTCTCCAGAAATTTTTCGTCAAAAGGAGGAGGTAACTTGTATGTTGAGAAGAGCAGGGGTCGTTTTGTTTGCTTGCTTTTTTTGAGGATCCTACAACCTACCACGCTTCTTTGAAAACACACTGAGTGAAGAAGTGCAGTGGCTCAACCAAGAGTTCGTTTAATTTAATGTTTTATAGTCCTGGAAATAAGTAGAATATATAAATGCTTATAGGATCGTCGTTACGAGGATTCTGACTTTGTTGTGGTTTGGGTTTTTTTTTTAAACACCGCTAGGCGTTTCATTCAGGATAACAGCAAAGTTCTTTAATAGGCCAATTAGGAATCCCAACTACCTTGGCTGGAAACTGGATTATTCGGACTTTGGGATTTGCAACTTCCTTCAGTACATCTAGGAGGAAATATATTGGGTATTTTTCTAGTCGACACATAATTATTTGTCTCTTTAACGTGTGTCCTGGCACTGGGGAAACAAAGACAAGAGCGAAATATAGTCTAAAACTCCGAAAAGTTTGTTTTCCAATTTGTGGTTAGTGAATTGATTTCACTGGGCACTATCCAAAAAGCTCAACGGGTGATTAAAAATACCTTTAGGTACTAATCAAGGTAGCAGAACTTGCATTACAGAAAAATTAAGAATCAAGACAATAGGTCAAATTCGAACATCTTAAAAATTTAACCTTACCAAAGTCCTATATGCCAGAAAGGTATATTTTAGGTCAAGTGATGGTGACTTCAGGTATTTATCTCCGTTTGCCAAGAAGGTCCAGGAGAAAGTGGATATTGTGCTCAAACCAAATATTTCAGTTTAGAGGCAACTAAGGAGATCACCTAAAGAGAGATGTCTTGAATCTTTTCTGTCTTCAAAGGAGGATTCTTTTGAGATCTTAACATTTAACATTAGACATGTGCACTTCTTAGTTATAGACTTTCCCAGAAATGTTCAATTTAACTTAACTCACATATGGTCCAGTAGCTGCTGGACAACTTGGAATTTACATTTTAAAAATTCCAGAAACCCTGTGAATGATTTTGAAGTTAACAATGAGTATGTATGATGCCACTCACTCACTCACTCATATTCCTATGTGTTGCGGTTGAAATCTCTGCATCCTATACTCCTATATATATATATATATATTTTAAGATTTATTTATACAAGCACTGGATATAGTCAGAAGCGAGGGAGGGTGAGAGAATTCACCAGAGCCAGAGCGGGGAGCAGAGCAGGCAGAAGGACCGAAGTACACTGCTGAGGGGAGCAGCGGGCTGCAGGAGAGGTCTGCGCGCCATGTGGGACCCTCCTCCGGTGGCCGGGGAGCAGCCGGAAATCGAACCGGCGCCGCAGAGGTCGCGGGCAGCTTCACAGCCCAGCGCTCAACCGCTGCGCCACCGGGGAGGCCCCTATGCACCTATATCTACTCTTAAAACTCACCTAACTTCGATCCCCGGCCCCGGAGAGGGTCCCACGTGACGCGCAGACCTCTCCTGCCGCCCGCTGCTCACCTCAGCAGTGTATTTACTCAGTCTGCCTGTTGGCTCCCTACTCTGGCTCTAGTAAATTCTCTCACTCTCCTGCTCTTCTGACTGTACCCAGTGCTTGTATAAATAAATAATTCTTTAAAAAAAAAAAAAAAAACCTCACTTCAACCCTAGTTCTTATATGCCTCATCTACCTAGTCTCTTATTCTTATCTTCTATAGTATTACCATAGTACAAAACCCCAACCAAATGACACTAGGTGGTTCTGTGGAGCCCCCCAAATGCCCTGATGCATCGTCAATCATTCATTTTCAGCCTTTTATTCTATACTAGACCATGAGTTCTTGCAAGCAGAGATAATAGATTCTGTGTATCCTAACTCCCATACACACATAGACATGCAGTACTTGCATGTTGAATTACTGTATAACAAGAAAGTAATTAGATATTTCCAGTTTGCTAGGTTTGGAGTCTTTGGGGCAAACTTGGTGTGCCTCCATGGACTTAAAAGTCTCCTCCCCACACAATCTCCCTTCATCTCTGACTTAAGACACCCTCCAGACCACTTGTAGCTGTGTAAAATTCCTTAAAGGGAGGTGCACTAAACTCATAAGTAAAAATTTAATGTTTAAGTGGCTAAAGATTGTAAATTGTTGTTGTATTGGTTGTGGTGGCCCAAACCACTATAAAGAAGCAGTGTCTCTTGTCAATGTCCGTGACGTCAAAAATTCCAATCCTGGGGCCTCCCCGGTGGCACAGCAGTTGAGCTCTGGGTTTCGAAGCTGCCCGAAGCCTCTGCAGCGCCGGTTAGATCCCCGGCAGCTCCCTGGCCACCGGAGGAGGGTCCCACATGGCGCGCAGACCTCTCCTGCAGCCCGCTGCTCCCCTCAGCAGTGTACTTCGGTCCTTCTGCCTGCTCTGCTCCCCGCTCTGGCCCTGGTGAATTCTCTCACCCTCCTGCACTTCTGACTGTACCGAGTGCTTGTATAAATAAATAAAAAATAAATCTTTAAAAAAAAAAATTCCAATCCTTCAGGAGGTTTCTAGTGTGTTTCACATAACACACTGAAATACTCAATCCTCATTAGATTCTGCTTTTGTGAAGCAGTAACTGCAGAAAAAACTAGAGTACTTCTAAAAGGGAAAAAAAAATGATTTGAAATTTAAACTGAAATCAGGGGCCTCCCTGGTGACTCAAGGGGTTAAGATGCAACCTATGAAGCTGTCGACAGCCTCTGCAGCACGAGTTCAATCCCAGGCCAGCCAGGGAGCAACCCACATAGTGCAGCAGACCTCTCCTGACTCTCTCGTTGCTCCCCTCAGCAGTGTATTTCAGTCAATCTGCCTGTTCTGTTTCCTACTTTGTCTCTGGTGAATCCTCTCGCCCCCTACACCTCTGGCCTGTACTCCAGCTCTTGTATGCTAAATAAATAAATCTTAAAAAAAATAAATAAATAATTTTAAACTGAAATCAAATTTTACCAAGACAAGATGTACACACCTACATTGAAGAGTCACACTTTCAATCTGCTAGGTAAGCTACCAATGGGGCAAGCATATCTTACGCTCACTTTTTTTAAGTGGAATATGTGATCCATTGCCAACCTAGACAAGTGTGTCCAAAAGAAACAGGAAGAGCCCCTTTCCTATACAAATTACACATACTTGAATCTCTTCCACAACTTGTTCAATACCTGTATTCTCACAGAATATCCTTGGTAGAGGCCTCCCTGTTTGTGGAGGGGTTAAAAACAGTGCTATCAAGCTATCACCAGCCACTTGCAACACAAGCTATCTCCCCAGCTGGCCAGGGAGTAACCCACATGGCACAACAGACCTCTCCTGCCTCGCCTGCTGCTCCCCTCAGCAGCCTATTTTATTGGATCTGCCTGTTATGCTCCCCACTCTGAATCCTCTCATCCCCCGCACCTCTGGCTTACACCCCAGTTCTTGTATGCATAAATAAATCTTTAAAAAAAAAAAAAAAAAGAAAACCCTTGGTAGGATTTAAGCATTTTATTTTATTATTTTATTTATTTATACAAGAACTGGGGTACAGGCCAGATGCCCAGGAGAGTAAGAGGATTCACCAGAGACAGAGCGGGGAACAGAACAGGCAGACTGACGAAATACACTGCTGAGGGGAGCAGCGGGGGAGACAGGAGAGGTCAGCCGCGCCATGTGGGTTTCTTCCCGGCTGGCTGGAATCGAACCCTCACTGCAGAGGCTTTGGACAGCTTCACAGTGCAGCACTTAACCACCTGCGCCACCAGGGAGGCCCAGATTAGAGCATTTTGTTGAAGAACTAGTTTGTGATTTTCAGTGAAGTGACCAGTTGTCCATTTTGAGCATACTACATTCCTGGTTGTCAAGATGATCTTATTTCACTTAGAAAGCAGAGGCCCCATTTGAAACTGTTAGGTTCTTCTTCAGCAACAGTCTATCCTAGACTCTGGGTTCTATTTATCCACAAAAATGTCAGTATATTGAGTACCTAGAGAATTCAATTCAATTAAAGCCTAGCTCAAAGGAGGATTTAAATAAGGAAATGAGGGGCCTCTATGGTGGCACAAGGGGTTAAGCACTGCACTATGAAGCAATCCGCAGCCTCTGCAACACGAGTTCGATCCCCAGCCAGACAGGGAGCAACCCACATAGCCCAGCAGACTTCTATCTTGCCTGCTGCTCCCCTCAGCAGTGTATTTCAGTCAGTTTGCCTGTTCTGTTCCCCACTCTGTCTCTGGTGAGTCCTCCCACCTCCTGCATCTCTGGCCTGTACCCCAGCTCTTATATGCATAAAT